TGAATGATTGTAAGTAATGTACGTTTACATACCTTTAGCTGTAGCTGAGTTTGCAGAGGTGCTCGCTGTTATTTCTTAGATTCCAGACGGTCCCAAGATGTTGAAATGTTAACACAAACTTTAGTTTTGTATTACCAAGCTATTAAAAAGCATCTGCGAAGCACAGAATAGAAGCGTATTTGAACGAAAAAGCCGCCGAACACATATCTATGTAAAGTAAACAAGCCCCCCGCTGCATCCCTTATTCGATAGTTCCGAACTAGTTCTAAATTCGACAAATAAGATCTAGTTCGTTCTGCATCCCGTTTTCTATAGTTCCGAACCATTTCTAAATTCGTCACTTTAGATATAGATTTCTAGTGAAAAAAACTGAAAAAATTAGTTTTTAAAAGTACCACTTTTCGCCGATTTTGGACTGGTGGGGATCTAGTTCCTATCGGACTAGTTCCTTTTTGGCGATAAAGATGTAGTACGGAACTACAAATTTGGTTCACCAGTTCGGGGTTTCCCTGCAGGGTTAATTTGACTGCAGCTAACGGTTCTTCTATTAAAACTTATGCTACAAAACTTTTAAAAATTGATCTAAGTTTGAGGCGTGATTTTGAATTCCTTTTCATATTAGCGGATATTTCAACACCAATCATAGGCGCTAACTTTTTAAAGAAATTTGGTATATTGTTGATATTAAACATAGATAAATTACTGATTCAACAACAGAATTGAAAGTTTCTGGATCATCTGTTTTTTGCGATATATTTTCAATAACGATACCAATTACTGAAAATAAATTTTCTAAACTTTTAAATGATTTTCCTTCAATTACTTGTGAACCAGATTACACTAAACAAGTGCAACACCAAACGGTTCACAGAGTTGAAACAAAAGGAGTGCTACCTTTCTCTAAACCACGTCACTTGTCCCAATTAAAGTCAAAATAGCAAAAACAGAATTTGAATTTTTAGTTAAAACGGGTATATGTAGACCTTCACACTCTCACATTGCATCTCATTTACATCTAGTTCCTAAAAAAGGTCCAAATGATTGGAGACCTTGTGGAGATTATAGAAGACTTAATTGCATTACTATTCCAGATCGTTATCCGTTACCTCACATTCATGATTTAACTATTGATTTAAAAAATAAACAAATTTTTTCCAAAATTGATCTTGTTCGTGCGTATCATCAAATACCAGTGGTTGAAGAAGATATACATAACACAGCAATTACTACACCGTTTGGAATGTTTGAGTTCGTACGGATGGCTTTTGGACTACGAAATAGTGCACAAACATTTCAACGTTTTATTAATGAAGTATTTTCAGGTTTAGAATTTGTGTTTGTCTATATTGACGATATTCTTGTTGCAAGTGATAATGAAGATCAACATATTGAGCATTTAAAATCTGTATTTGAAAGACTTGAAAAATATAGTTTGAATATTAAACCTAGTAAATGCATTTTTGGAGCAAATAAATTAGATTTTCTAAGATATGAGATTTCAAGAGAAGGAATCAGACCTTCTGTCGAACGAGTTGAAGCAATAGTAAATTTTGAAACACCACTTTCAATAAATAAATTACAAAAATTTTTGGGCATGGTTAATTATTACCACAGATATGTTAAAATGTTAGCAGCAGAACTTAGTCCTCTGCACGAAATGTCAACATTAGCAACTAAAAATAAACTTAAACAATTAAATTAGACAGAAAATATAACTAGGGCTTTTGAAAATGTGAAGAAACTTTTACACAGAAGATTTTACTCACTCATTTTGATAAAAAGGTAAATTATCACTTGCTGTCGATGCATCGAATGTAGCAGTCGGTGCAGTTTTACAACAAATGAGTAATAACACTTTGGCACCACTTGCATATTTTTCAAGAAAAATATCTTCTACAGAAATTAATTACTCTATATTTGATAGAGAACTTTTAGCGATATAAAATTCAATTAAACATATTAAACATTTTCTAGAAGGTAGAACATTCACTGTTTACACTGATCATAACGAGCCCTAACCGCCAAAATAACGTAAGCGACATTTTTTTTCAAAATTTCCTTTTTGATGCAGAAATGCACCTAGATGCTCTAGGAATATTTCTGCATCAAAAAGAAAATTTCGAAAAAAATGTCGCTTACGTTATTTTGGCGGTTAGGGCTCGATAAACCTTTAACACATATTCTAAACTCTAAATCAGACTGATCATCTCGACACTTAGAGTACATTGCACAATTTACAGACGACATTACATTTCTGATAAAGAAAACATAGTTGCTGATACCCTTTCACGTATTCCAGATGTTAACACGATTTTAGCCCAAGACATAAAATTTCAAACATTATTCGAGGAACAACAAAAAGATCAAACACTTTATGACATAATATCTGACCAAAATTCCAACAGTAATTTAAAAGAAATTAATATTCCAGTACTTAATCTTAATATTTGGTGTGATATTTCTAAATAACCTTTTAGACCATTTGTTCCGAATTCTATGAGAAAAATCATTTTTGATAAAATTCATTTATTATCACATCCAAGTGTCAAAAATCTAAAATTTTTAAACATACTAAGACGCCTGTGGAAAAAATTGGCATTCCATCTGGACGATTTGAACATATTCATATGGATCTTGTTGGTACATTACCTTTGTAAAAAGAAAATCGCTACATTTTTACATTGATAGACATATACGTTGGCCAGAAGCATATCCACTTAAGGGTATTTCAGCAAATTCCATAGCAACAACATTTGTTCAAAATTACGTTCTAGTTTTGGCATTCCTCTTTATATAACAGTAAATCAAGGATCACAATTTACATCAAAATTGTTTACAGAATTAACTAAATTGTTAGGAGCACACAAAATTCATACGTCTCCATATCATCCCCAATCAAACGGGATGATTGAAAGATTTCATAGGACATTAAAAACTGCTATTACTGCTTCGGAGCATTCTACCCACTGGTCTGAAATTCTTCCGTGGATATTATTAGCATTACGTACGTCTGTTAAAGAAGATTTAAAATGCTCTTCTGTAGAATTAGTTTATTGACAGACATTAAGATTATCGGGTGAATTAGTTGTTGCGAACAGTTATAATAATGAAGTTGATAATACAGATGAAACTCTTTCTAAGCTAAGAAAATATTTTTCAAATGTTAGATCAAAGGTTGTTCATCACAATAAAGAATACTCTTTTGTTCCTAAAAGTGTGGATACATGTGAGTACGTTTTTCTTAAAGTTATTCAGAAGTCAAATTTGCAATCACCTTATGAAGGACCATTTAAAATTATTTCCAAAATTGACAAAGTATTCAAAATTCAACATGGAAATATGATTAAAACGGTTTCAATAGATTTACTCAAACCTGCAAATATAATTTCTGATACAACAAAAAAATACAAAACAGAAAATAACATTTAACATTAATTAATTCATTGTTTTACTGGAGGGGGAGTATATGTAGGCTATTTTACTTGTATGTTTTTATCAGGGACGTGAACCGGATGAAAAATTTGGTCGGTTCGGTTCAGCGGCTCGAACCGTTGTTGCACTTTTGGATTGCTTCGTCAAAGCGTTTTTTTTTGATCTTTGAACCGGGGTTTCGGTTCGGTTCAACGGTTCGAGAAACAAAAAAATAACGCGCAAGTTTAAGTGTCAAGTGTCAAGTGTAGCAATGCGCAAGGTTAAGGGTCAAGTATCTGTCAAATGAGATAGGTTGCCTTTACATTTGATATTGTCACAAGGTAAACAAACATGATTGGTATTACCATGTTTAACAAAAAGAAAAAAAAATATATCTATTGAAAATTGGTTGAAACGAACCTTTAAACCTTTATAGAAAGTGGTTCGGTTTTCGGTTCGGATCAAACATTTGTGGAAAATTTCGGTTCGGTTAATGGTTCAGTTAATTAATAGAAAAAAGCGGTTTTCCGGTTCAAAACCGTATACTTGTTTAAATTCTTGATTTTCAGTTTATGGTTCTATGAATTTGTTTGTTGTTAAAAATGAAATTTTTGATAATTAATAAACCAGCTTTCAAACAAGAAAGAAAATAATTTTTTAAATTGAATAATATATCATACGATATACTCGGTAACCACTTGATCGATTTGTATCTGACTAGGTTCAATTATGTCATTAAGTCTAACTCTGCATATTATCGGAAACGTTTGAAATCGGGTAAACATCCCTGCTTATCATGCAAAGGTAGTTCAGGGAAAGTTGAGACGACGATATTTGATACCTGCACCGGGTATATAAAGTTCGGTTTCGCCCGAACCTATACTTCTTTACTTGTTTTCTTTTTAAATTTGAACTCACCTGCATCCGGCCAACAAACATTGACGATAAATTTCCACCGATGATTTGCCTGTCAGTTGATGCCCTATTAAATATGTGTTGTGGGAAGAGTTTACAAAATAATGCGATAAAGGCTGGTCCATGTCGTCACATAAGTCAAATTTGCTAGGCGCCACAATGGGATTGTCGTCTGACATTAAGTACCTGGAAAATTAGAATAAAACAGTGTGAACTAAGTACAAAGTTTAAGAAAAGTTTTAATTTATGTATGAAGACGTATCCTATGTGGTGAATTTTTTATATAATAATACTAATACGAGTAATAGTAATACAAGTAATAGTAATAACTAATGAACCCGCAGGGTCTTAAAACGCCATAATTTCAATTAGCTTCCTAAACAGGGGCCAACCCTATTAAAAAACCTAAACGGTGCTACAAACAAAAAATCACGAAATACACCAAAAAAAATACTTAGAGTAGGTTGTACTTATCTCTTAACAGCTTGACTATTTTTCATCCGAATTTAAAGATCAAACAAACAAAATATTTTTTTTATTTTCACTTTTATTTCAACATAGATTGACTAAAAGAAAAATACTGAAAATTTTGAAATTCCTGCACTTATTTCGTTTGTAAGGCATTGTGCTACTATGATAACATGGCCGCACCAAATTTTGACAAAGTTTTAAAGTATTATTTTTGTTTTTATTTAATTTTGGTTAGTTTTTTATAGTTCATTCTTTACCAACATCCGTATAAATACAAGTTTAAGGGCAGTGTCACACGATTAGGAACTAGCCGGAAATTGGTGCAAATCGTATCCCACTTGTGTGAATACCCAAATATTTTTCTTCGCCAATCATGAAAAATAATTAGTTGACATTTTTCAATACACTGTGCGCCGCCTCAGAACAGCGAATAGATTTTGTGAGAAGCGTTTTCAAGGCAGAAGTACAAACGGAGATTTGCTATTGCCTGCCGAGGGGCGACTGCTGTTAAGAAAAACAACCTTTTTTCTATATTTTTTTTGCGATGTTGCTTTGACCAGGGCTTGAACCCAGGCCCTGCGAGTGGTACCTCGCACTGCTAATCACTACACTTGGATTCAACATTTCGTATGAATGATTTTTATCTGAAGATTTTTTTTTTTTGATGTTTAATAATATTTGTGTTTTCGTATTCTCCAGCAAAAAATATCCAATAACTTGCCAGTAACCAAATTTGGGATAGTAAGCCAATATTTACTACCAATGAGAGAAATATGCAAGAAAGTACGAAAACGTAAAACCAGCAAGAAGTTGCAAGTTTTATGGACAGCTGATTAATTTGTTATTTTCCGACGCAGATTTTTAAGAAAAATAGTATTTCCCATCTTAATATATATTAATATAAGTTTATTTTGTTAATTGCAAGTCTAAAAGCACCACACACAATTCTTTTGGTAATGTGAATTGCATTAAGCATAGGGCTGCCAGACGTCCCGGTTTTCCCGGACACATCCCTGTTTCAGACTATTTGTCCCGGTGTCCCGGTCCAACCTTAAAATGTCCCGGGTTTCGTTTAAGTGTCCCGGTTTTCGACTTATATGCACAAATTTAATAAGAGTTCAAGGGTCACTACCGGTGTCATTTGTGATATAGTTACATCTCCAGATAGTTGGACTTTGCACAAGCAATATTTGATGATCGATATATCCACATACATACCTGTAAGTACAAAGTGACTTTCCTAATTAGCATCAGCTGTTTTTTATTTGTTTTGCTCGTTTGTTTTTCGGGTGGGTTTTAATTCCAACGTAAGTTTTCGCGACAAAGTTTATAGAATATAAAAATGTGTGTTTATAGTGTTTTGATTACCCTTAGAAAATGCCAAAGAGAACGTATAAATTCCTTTCCGCTTACACAGAAGAGTGCGTCATTTGTTTATATTTTTTGAAGTTAAAAGAGAGCCTCCCTGAGTTGTCAACCACGCCTTGTTTAATACACCTAATGTGGATCAATGTTTTTTTCTTATTTCATCTCAATAGACTAAGGAAAGAAATTTGCTCAATATAAGTACATATGTGCGTTTAATGGCGTGCACAGAGTTTTAAAATTATATTAAGGAAAAGTCAGAAGTTTTGAAACAAGTTCACAACAACGAAAAATATGACTGATTTTTTAATGTTATCTTGTACTTNTATTATCACATCCAAGTGTCAAAAATCTAAAATTTTTAAACATACTAAGACGCCTGTGGAAAAAATTGGCATTCCATCTGGACGATTTGAACATATTCATATGGATCTTGTTGGTACATTACCTTTGTAAAAAGAAAATCGCTACATTTTTACATTGATAGACATATACGTTGGCCAGAAGCATATCCACTTAAGGGTATTTCAGCAAATTCCATAGCAACAACATTTGTTCAAAATTACGTTCTAGTTTTGGCATTCCTCTTTATATAACAGTAAATCAAGGATCACAATTTACATCAAAATTGTTTACAGAATTAACTAAATTGTTAGGAGCACACAAAATTCATACGTCTCCATATCATCCCCAATCAAACGGGATGATTGAAAGATTTCATAGGACATTAAAAACTGCTATTACTGCTTCGGAGCATTCTACCCACTGGTCTGAAATTCTTCCGTGGATATTATTAGCATTACGTACGTCTGTTAAAGAAGATTTAAAATGCTCTTCTGTAGAATTAGTTTATTGACAGACATTAAGATTATCGGGTGAATTAGTTGTTGCGAACAGTTATAATAATGAAGTTGATAATACAGATGAAACTCTTTCTAAGCTAAGAAAATATTTTTCAAATGTTAGATCAAAGGTTGTTCATCACAATAAAGAATACTCTTTTGTTCCTAAAAGTGTGGATACATGTGAGTACGTTTTTCTTAAAGTTATTCAGAAGTCAAATTTGCAATCACCTTATGAAGGACCATTTAAAATTATTTCCAAAATTGACAAAGTATTCAAAATTCAACATGGAAATATGATTAAAACGGTTTCAATAGATTTACTCAAACCTGCAAATATAATTTCTGATACAACAAAAAAATACAAAACAGAAAATAACATTTAACATTAATTAATTCATTGTTTTACTGGAGGGGGAGTATATGTAGGCTATTTTACTTGTATGTTTTTATCAGGGACGTGAACCGGATGAAAAATTTGGTCGGTTCGGTTCAGCGGCTCGAACCGTTGTTGCACTTTTGGATTGCTTCGTCAAAGCGTTTTTTTTTGATCTTTGAACCGTGGTTTCGGTTCGGTTCAACGGTTCGAGAAACAAAAAAATAACGCGCAAGTTTAAGTGTCAAGTGTCAAGTGTAGCAATGCGCAAGGTTAAGGGTCAAGTATCTGTCAAATGAGATAGGTTGCCTTTACATTTGATATTGTCACAAGGTAAACAAACATGATTGGTATTACCATGTTTAACAAAAAGAAAAAAAAATATATCTATTGAAAATTGGTTGAAACGAACCTTTAAACCTTTATAGAAAGTGGTTCGGTTTTCGGTTCGGATCAAACATTTGTGGAAAATTTCGGTTCGGTTAATGGTTCAGTTAATTAATAGAAAAAAGCGGTTTTCCGGTTCAAAACCGTATACTTGTTTAAATTCTTGATTTTCAGTTTATGGTTCTATGAATTTGTTTGTTGTTAAAAATGAAATTTTTGATAATTAATAAACCAGCTTTCAAACAAGAAAGAAAATAATTTTTTAAATTGAATAATATATCATACGATATACTCGGTAACCACTTGATCGATTTGTATCTGACTAGGTTCAATTATGTCATTAAGTCTAACTCTGCATATTATCGGAAACGTTTGAAATCGGGTAAACATCCCTGCTTATCATGCAAAGGTAGTTCAGGGAAAGTTGAGACGACGATATTTGATACCTGCACCGGGGATATAAAGTTCGGTTTCGCCCGAACCTATACTTCTTTACTTGTTTTCTTTTTAAATTTGAACTCACCTGCATCCGGCCAACAAACATTGACGATAAATTTCCACCGATGATTTGCCTGTCAGTTGATGCCCTATTAAATATGTGTTGTGGGAAGAGTTTACAAAATAATGCGATAAAGGCTGGTCCATGTCGTCACATAAGTCAAATTTGCTAGGCGCCACAATGGGATTGTCGTCTGACATTAAGTACCTGGAAAATTAGAATAAAACAGTGTGAACTAAGTACAAAGTTTAAGAAAAGTTTTAATTTATGTATGAAGACGTATCCTATGTGGTGAATTTTTTATATAATAATACTAATACGAGTAATAGTAATACAAGTAATAGTAATAACTAATGAACCCGCAGGGTCTTAAAACGCCATAATTTCAATTAGCTTCCTAAACAGGGGCCAACCCTATTAAAAAACCTAAACGGTGCTACAAACAAAAAATCACGAAATACACCAAAAAAAATACTTAGAGTAGGTTGTACTTATCTCTTAACAGCTTGACTATTTTTCATCCGAATTTAAAGATCAAACAAACAAAATATTTTTTTTATTTTCACTTTTATTTCAACATAGATTGACTAAAAGAAAAATACTGAAAATTTTGAAATTCCTGCACTTATTTCGTTTGTAAGGCATTGTGCTACTATGATAACATGGCCGCACCAAATTTTGACAAAGTTTTAAAGTATTATTTTTGTTTTTATTTAATTTTGGTTAGTTTTTTATAGTTCATTCTTTACCAACATCCGTATAAATACAAGTTTAAGGGCAGTGTCACACGATTAGGAACTAGCCGGAAATTGGTGCAAATCGTATCCCACTTGTGTGAATACCCAAATATTTTTCTTCGCCAATCATGAAAAATAATTAGTTGACATTTTTCAATACACTGTGCGCCGCCTCAGAACAGCGAATAGATTTTGTGAGAAGCGTTTTCAAGGCAGAAGTACAAACGGAGATTTGCTATTGCCTGCCGAGGGGCGACTGCTGTTAAGAAAAACAACCTTTTTTCTATATTTTTTTTGCGATGTTGCTTTGACCAGGGCTTGAACCCAGGCCCTGCGAGTGGTACCTCGCACTGCTAATCACTACACTTGGATTCAACATTTCGTATGAATGATTTTTATCTGAAGATTTTTTTTTTTTGATGTTTAATAATATTTGTGTTTTCGTATTCTCCAGCAAAAAATATCCAATAACTTGCCAGTAACCAAATTTGGGATAGTAAGCCAATATTTACTACCAATGAGAGAAATATGCAAGAAAGTACGAAAACGTAAAACCAGCAAGAAGTTGCAAGTTTTATGGACAGCTGATTAATTTGTTATTTTCCGACGCAGATTTTTAAGAAAAATAGTATTTCCCATCTTAATATATATTAATATAAGTTTATTTTGTTAATTGCAAGTCTAAAAGCACCACACACAATTCTTTTGGTAATGTGAATTGCATTAAGCATAGGGCTGCCAGACGTCCCGGTTTTCCCGGACACATCCCTGTTTCAGACTATTTGTCCCGGTGTCCCGGTCCAACCTTAAAATGTCCCGGGTTTCGTTTAAGTGTCCCGGTTTTCGACTTATATGCACAAATTTAATAAGAGTTCAAGGGTCACTACCGGTGTCATTTGTGATATAGTTACATCTCCAGATAGTTGGACTTTGCACAAGCAATATTTGATGATCGATATATCCACATACATACCTGTAAGTACAAAGTGACTTTCCTAATTAGCATCAGCTGTTTTTTATTTGTTTTGCTCGTTTGTTTTTCGGGTGGGTTTTAATTCCAACGTAAGTTTTCGCGACAAAGTTTATAGAATATAAAAATGTGTGTTTATAGTGTTTTGATTACCCTTAGAAAATGCCAAAGAGAACGTATAAATTCCTTTCCGCTTACACAGAAGAGTGCGTCATTTGTTTATATTTTTTGAAGTTAAAAGAGAGCCTCCCTGAGTTGTCAACCACGCCTTGTTTAATACACCTAATGTGGATCAATGTTTTTTTCTTATTTCATCTCAATAGACTAAGGAAAGAAATTTGCTCAATATAAGTACATATGTGCGTTTAATGGCGTGCACAGAGTTTTAAAATTATATTAAGGAAAAGTCAGAAGTTTTGAAACAAGTTCACAACAACGAAAAATATGACTGATTTTTTAATGTTATCTTGTACTTAAATTTTTTTTTCATTAAACCTAGTGTACTTATAAGTACAGTGCCGTACAAAATTATTGGCTCAGAGAATTTTTTATCAGATCTTTTAGAAAAATGTTGAAAATGTAGCAGTTTCTTTCATACAAAAAGAATTGTCGAACATAGTTTGTATGGAAGAAGCTGTCAGCAAAAAATTATCAAAAATGAACTAAAACACAAAGTCTAGAAATTCTGTTTTTGTTTTTTTGATGTAGCATATACGGTATATGTGTTTATATAAAATTAAAGCAAAAAGATTATGAATGCATTGTGCCAATAATTTTGGGCGGCACTATATGTTTATTTTGAACTTTAGTACGTTGAAATGATCTCATCTTTTTATGGTTTTGTTTTTGTCTTGCCAAAATAAAATTTTGCTACATACATTCGTACGTAAGTAATTTTTATCTACAGGGAAGGAAAGGGAGGGGCCGTTGTGGTGTTAGATTTTCCAAAGTGTCCCGGTTTGCCAACGGAGATATCTGGCAGCCCTAATTAAGCATCAAGCCATCAGCTGTTTTTTCTTACTAGCAAATAGCTACTAGTAAAAATTTATCCAGTAAAATGCCAGTAAAACTTGCAAGTTCAACTGTAATTTTTTTCTCTCTCAATTCTCTCGTACGAAAACGCCATCCAGTAAAAACCAATAAAACTAGTACGCAAACAGGGCTAATATTTTATGATGAGGTCCACTATTGTGAATTATAATGTGATAATAATAATAATCCCAACGGTGTTTACCCTCCATTCCCGCCCATCCGCACGAGGGGCGCAGTCCGCATGACGTACGGAACCAGTATTTTCAATTTTTGCGCCGAGCCACGATAGGCAGGAGTTTGTTAAGTGTCGAGATCTAAAACTGTTCAGCCACAGAACTAAATTCATCAGCTGGTTTTATGTCTTTATGTTAATAATTCATTTATTGAGAGAGGAGAGTACCGCTTTCTTAATACTGAAAAGCGGATCTTATATAACAAACGTGCTGGAATGAGAGTTAAAATCTTGACATTAGCGACGAAGTGGGTCGTGCAATTCAAAATTAGTTTTACAAGCTTTCAGAAATAGGGGAAAAATTGTCTTGATACCCGGGAGGGAACATTAAGGCTAACTTCACCCAGAAGAAGCGGACTTGAAATTGAGCCTGTCAGTAATTTAACTATAAAAATTGTACCAAGTATTTGCCTGCGACTGGCAAGTGTAGGAATATTAATAAGTTTTAATCGGCTCGTATAAGGCGGAAGGTTATATTGAGAATCCGAACGGAAATTTCTTAAAGCAAAACGTAGGAATTGCTTTTGAACTGATTCTATCTTGTCTGAGTAAATTTGATACCTTGGATTCCAAACAACCGAACCATATTCCAGAATCGGTCAAACTAATGTTGTAAAAAGGGTTTTAGTGATATAAGTGTCACAAAATTCTTTTGACCATGACTTTGATCTTTGATGTATTAAGCATATGCTCAATGGTTAGGTAACAAAAAAAAAAACTTATTGAAAATATGAATTTTTTATAAGGCAAAACTTAGTTACTAACTAATTAATAAATGTTTTTAAAACTTAGTTGTCGACTTGTATAAACTGTGTTCTAATAACCTGATATTTGGGAGCCTACCTACGAAATTTCAGCGAAATCCGACAATAGTTGATGAAAATATACCTATTTTTATTATAAAGATGCATTTAAAATCTGTAGTTTCCGGAAAACAAACAACAGCATTGAGCGACCTCTAAATCTTGTTCAAATAAGCTGAAATTTTAGAAGGAACCTGTCTTCCCTATTATCTTCAAGAATCCGAACGTTCTCAGGCGAAATTCATAAAAGTTCCAATTTTGAATCACCCTAATGTACAAGATAAATAAAATCAATCGCAGTCATGCAGAAATATGGAGCGTGGCACCTACCATACAAGCCGAATTTCATACTGCATATCTCTGGAAGTGTTCATGGTAGAGTACTGGAACACTTCGTATGGAGACTGACTTTTACCACAGAATAAATAGTATACAGAAGACGCATGTCGACTATCGAACCAATTTGAATTTATGGCACGAGCGGTGAGGCAAGGGTATCACAAGCGGCGCTGCCTCTGTTACTTTAGCAGTATTTTCCAGGGTTCGGAAATTCTCACTCACATTCTCTCACGTTCGCGATCGATAATATTCCAAGTCTATTTTTGCATTCTTTTATCGCGAGTGAAAAATGCAAACAAATTTATCATCTCTCACATTCGGAATGCGATCGACAAAAAAATTTTCGCTGCTTTTCATTCGCGATCGAAAAAAGCAAAGAAATTTCCTCTCACTCGAATATGAGAAGTCCGAGCATTGCCGATGTCGGCCTCTCATAAATAAGAAAAACGATGCAAATAATCCATTCGCGATCACTCACAACAGCTTATCGCGATAAACTTTTCGCGAAAAATTTTCAACGACGTTGTATGGGAGATATTTTTCGCGTTTGTTTTGGGTATGCATTTTGTTATGCATACAGCGTACATACATATGTA